ACACACACACACACATACACACACACACAGAGGGTCATAAAGTTTCTCTGGCCCCTTCTCTCTCTCTTTCTCACTCACTATCTATTTCTCTTTTTCTCTCTCTCTCTCTTTCTTTTGTCTTTTCTTGCACACTTACACTCACTCACTGTCAAACACACTCACATAATGCACACGCATGCACACATACATGTATTCTCAAACACTAAAAGTCACACAGACTTTCACTATCCATTTCTTTCTCTTTTTCTCTCTGTCCTGTCTATTCCTCTCTCTGTCTCTCTCTCTTTCACTCTCTTTCACTTTTTCTCTCTCTCTCCCTCTCATTTTGGCTCTCCCTTCTTTGACTTTCTAGTTTGTTCTCTCACGTTGTAACTATTGAGCTGTAAGGTAACTGACTCTCAAAGAACACAATACTGAAGCACAACATGTTGATGGTTAGTGGGTTCTCTATTGTGGTTTCCTACAACATTTATCGTCCTTATCTCTCCTCTTTCTTTTTTGAGTTTCTTACCTCTTTTATAAGGACTGTAGTCTTCTGCACTTTTATGACTTTATTTTGTTGTAGGTATAGTAAAACACTATTAAAACTAAACTCTCTTGTAACACCTCTAGTCTTCGGCACTTATATGACTTTATCGTGTTGCAAGTGCTGTAAAACTTTTACTCAAACTAACGGTTTCTTATGACAAAAATTGTAAAGTTGGTTGTGGTGTAGGTAGACAGGATTTATCAATAGAATGTAGAATAATCTAACTCTCCATTGTTTGTTCCCCCTCCACAGTACCTACAAGACACCCTGGCGGAGTTTATCCGTCAGATGCTGGTCTCCACGGACGACTGTGAGGTGGACCCAGCCAAAGTGGGCAACCCACAGATCCTGGCCTGTCAGCAGAAAAATCTGGACATGTACTGTAACATGGCCTGGGTCAAGATCATCAACTCTTTCTGCTATTTCCCAAAGTATGTTGGACTTTTTGTGTGTAACAGTGTAGTTGTCTGTTTGTCTGTCGCTCTGTGACATGGGATGAGGGGCTTTAGTGTGGGTGGTCATAGGGTGCTATTGGTTGGTTGCTACTTATTTTCTTTCCTCTTTCTCTTTCCTCTGTTTGTCTGTCTTCCTTTCTCTCTGCACTAAACTCAAACTCAAATAGGAGGCATGCTTATCGACTCTTTGTCTTACTTACAGAAGTATGTCTATTTGTTTGCCTTTGCCAGTGTGTATTTATTTGTTTATGCCTGTCTGTTTTAATTTTCCTAATTTCCTTATCTTGAGCAAGGGTCCTAAAATTTAAAAACTGAATTATTTTCATGGGTGGTTGGCAGGCAATCTGATGGGGTTTGCTTCATCTTTCCTGTCTTCCTTATCTTTCCATCTTCTTTTTTTCATATGCTGCTCTCTAGTATAGTAACATCTCTAATTTTCAGCACTTATATTTCCTTTTTTGGGTCAAAAGTGCCATAAAACACTTACAAGACGGAAAAACTAGCAAAAATATTTTCAAACAAGATTGCAAATTAATTTAACTTAAAGTTAGTTTGCACTCATTAAAGATCCCTTTATGTTATTAGAATTGACAAGAGTAGGCTTCGGGCACCACCCAGGCAAATTTCAAAATCAATCAGTACCAAATTGAAAATGCTTAATGTGTCCCACACATGCTCATATGACCTTATGCAGTTGCAAGCGTGGTAAAACACCCACCCAAACAAAACTAAAAACTCTTTACTAAAAAACGAAAACTGCCATTGTCTCCCTTCCCGCGTCCAGTGAGCTGAGGGAGGTTTTCTCAACACTGCGTAACCGCTGCGACGACCGGGAGAAGGAGGACTACAGCGACAACCTCATCAGCGGCTGTATCTTCCTGCGCTTCCTCTGCCCGGCCATCCTGTACCCCAGTCTGTTCAACCTCACGCAAGGTAGGTCCCGTCATAGCTGGTCACTCCGTTCCTCTTTAAAAAAAATTGATTTGTATGTTACTTTCTTGTAACACTTCAAAGTTTCAGAACTTTTGTGACGTAATTTTGTTGCAAGTGCCGTAAAACAGTTACTAAAACTAAATTTGAACCCCACTTCTGTGCTTTAGTGGGTATTATGTTGAGCTTGTGGTAGGGACAGGCTGAGGACTGGTTTAAATCCCTAAAGGGTAAGTTTTTTTAAATCCCCCCCCCCCACACACACACACACACACTCTCTCGACTGACTCAGAGATGAAGGTTACCGTCGAACCTGTCCAACACAACCATCCACTGACCAGGAGTAAAGTGGTCATCTGAGACTGATTGCCCTTTACGACTGCCATTATAATACTGAAAACCACATGGAAGTGAGGGGGTTGGGGGAATGAGAAATGGTCATTTGTTGAGGTGATTGTCTTGGACAGGTAGTCATAAGAGCAGGTTCAACAGTACACTGAATGTCTCCCAAACCAAACCCTCCCCACACCCACACACCCCTTCGCCTTTGCCTCAATAAATAATTCCTCTAAAAGGAGGGTAATATATAGTGTCAGGGCGTTATCTGGTGCAGTTTCTGTCTCCTTGTACTTCTCCGTCTTTCTTACTTTTTCCCTTGCGTTAAATAAATGTTATTGTATCAATTGTCCTATCCTGTGACTGTGTCTTCCCTCCCTACCCCATCCGTGAGTGGTTGGCTGGTGCTCTTGTGTGGTTTGCTCCTTCTTTCCTGTCAAACATCTATCATCCTTATCTATCCTTCTTTTGTGTTTGTTATTCTCTTGCAACCCCTTATATGACCTTTTTGTGTTGCAAGTGCAGTAAAACCTTCTGAAACTAAAAACTAAACAACCCCTTCATACATCCTTCTCTCCATCCTGCGCAGAGTACCCTGGAGAGAGAGCGTCCAGAAACCTAACACTTATTGCGAAGACTCTGCAGACGCTGGCAAACTTCACACAGTACGTTGGCTTGTGATAGATGTGAATAAAGAATGAAATATTCTATGAGAATAATGTGTGTGTGTGAAAGAACAACTTATATGGCGTTGATGACGAAAGAATGAAATATTCTATAAGAAAGTGTGTGTGTGTGTGTGAGAGAGAGGGAGAGAGAGCGACTTATGTGCCGTTGATGATGGAAATTGAGATAGCAGTGGTTTTTGCCAGGGCAGGGAACTCTGAACATTCTGAAATGGCTGGTTTTGTTGGAGAAGGTATGAAGATACACAATGAACAAAAATGATGCTTAAGTTCTATGTTTTTAAAATTTTATAATTGTTGTTAACTGTTATTTATAAATCTTTATTGGTCAAATTCTGTTTCCATGCTCATATGACCTTTTTTTTATTAAACTTTTGCCAAACACACCAAAACGGAAATTTTGTAACATCCTTCCCACATGTGATAGAAAATGGATAAATGTTCAATTTTCACAAGTGCTACATTTGGTTCTCAATGATTTTTTCCCCATAAATATTCTTTTTAGAGCGTATGTGGTATTCTTGTATTTGGGTCATTTACAATCTCATATGCTCTTTTGGCTTTTGTTACATGAGATTTTCCTTATCTCACTTCCTATGCGTGTAGCGTCAGTGCCTAGTGTGTTTAGGGTCTCTCACTAGCGACCATTGGGTCAAGGGTTTGTTTCGAGTCAGAGACCCAACATTGTGTCCTTGGGAAGCCACTTTTACAAAAATTTTCCCTCATTTCACCCAGGTGGGAAGGGGTACCCTGCCGCAGATGGCAAAGATTTTGTCAGTATGTTAGTTTTTGAGCGAGTGCAAATTGGCAGCTTGCACTGTATGTTTCCAGGGAAGCGGTGAAAGTTTCTGAGTGGGGTCTACTGGGGTAATGATGGTTGTACAGCCAAAGAGCATGCTGTAGAGCATGGATATGCACTAGATATAAATGCAATTATTATTATAATGACTATTTTCCCCCCAGGTTTGGTGGCAAAGAGGAGTTTATGACCTTCATGAACACATTTGTGGAGCGAGAAGCTCCCAATATGAAAACCTTTCTACACAAAATCTCTGTAAGTCTGTGTCATGGTAGTTTATAAAGTCAGTCTCTGAAGTATCATTACAGTGTTACTAGAGGCATTGAAACTCATATGCACTTTTTTGCTCATATAGTGGGTGGTTTGCTCCTTCTTTTATAAAAATAAAACATATGTCGTCCTTATCTCTCCCCCTTCTTTTCTTTTGTATGTTACTCTCTAGTAATGCTTCTAATCTTCAGCTCTTGTATAACTTAACTGTGTTGAAAGTACTGTAGTATTCTTGCTAAAACTAAAGTGGGTGATTGGAGGGTGTGTCACTGGAAGCTCTTTTTTCCCCCTTTTTTTCTGTTCTTACTGCCTGTATATGTGGCTTGCTTTTTTCTTGCATTAAAAGACTGGTATTGTCTCCGTGTAGTTTTCTTTTCTCAAACAAACAAAGTTTTAGATACTTTCTATGTTGGGGGAGGGGGGGGGGTGTAAGTAGGAACTTGAAATGTGGAAGAGAAATTAAGCCTACAGGGACATTACTTTCCATGGTGTAATTGTCTGGGTTCAGGCAGCTTACCTCCAAATTGGTTCGAATAATGTCAATGAAGACTTTATAAAAACACTTGAAATAAGATTTATTTTTTAACGTGTGTCTCCTCAGAGTTGGGGGAGGACTTTATAAAACACTTGAAAATTTTGGTAAAATGTATTTGTCAATGTCTCTCTCGTCAGAGTCGGGACGCGGGGAACCAGTTCTTGGAGTACGATGGCTACATCGACCTGGGCAAGGAGTTGTCTGTCCTTCACTCCCTGCTGCTGGACTGTATGGGCAAGTTCCCCGAGGTGAGTGACGAGGGTGGTTACAGTGTGTCCCTCATTTTGGTCATGGTGGGGGGTTGGAGGGTGTCCCATATGGGTGTTATGGCGGAGTGGTTGGAAGGTGTCGCTTACTGGTATTATGGCAGGGTGTTGCTTTTGGACGATACGGTGGGTGGTTGGAGTGTGAGGGTATCCCTTCCGTTTGCTATAGTTGACTTATTAATCAATCTGTTGTTCTTTCCCCACTGTCTGGATTTTTTCTCTGCTTTAAGTCACGAGATACTTTTCTATGCTCGGACTAAAACGAAAATTTCATCTCACTCACATCCATCTCACCATCACCATCATAGCCTATCTCACCCTGGTCACAAACTTGCACTTTCCACCTTTCCCTATCCTCGGCTAACCTATTTATGTTTTTCCATGTCTTCCCACTTTTCTGTACGTCAATTTATATCCATCTCTCTCCTTTTTTTTTTACCCCACTCTCCCCCAGACATCGGACAAAAAGTTTGAGCGTCTGAGCAACATCCTGAACACGGTGTCAAACGCATTCGACGACCCTACTGTTGGGCTGAAAAAGCCAAACAGGAAGTCTCAGATCTACGACAATCTGGTGCACGTACCGACCACAGCCCGCGACATGGCGCAGCAGACGCCCAACAAAATCACATACGGGCCGGCGCGCATGAAGAACATGACGGCCTCGTCCCCCACAGAGGTCCTCATCGACATGCTGAGGCATTGTGGGGAGTCAGCGGACGACCTCCCGGCCCTGGCTAACAGGGGCAGACAGGGGGAGAGAACCAATGCAACAGGGGAAGCGACGCCGTCGACAGCCTCCTCGAGGGGGACTTCGAAAGACGAAGAAGACAGCGGTGGTGGTGGTGGGCGTGCGGTGGGTGACTCGTGGTCGCAGATGGTGAACGCGGCGGATAGTGTGAACGGAGATTACATCGACCTGATCCCATTTATGGATGAGGATGTTCAGAATTCCTCGCTGGAGATGGAGGCCACTGGAAGCCAGGTAAAGTGGTGGGTGGTTCGCGGTCGGGGATTTTCCTGTGGCTTGCTCCACCTTTCAATTTTAAAAAATCTCTCCTCCTTTTTTGTGTTTGTTACTCTCTTGTAACACCTCTAATCTCTGGCACATATCCTCACTAAGCCCCTCCCTCATCACATTTTGTCACTAAGCCCCTCCCACATCACATTTGATAATTAAGCCCCTCCTACATCACATGCACGAGGCAGGGGTAGGCCTCGAGAAACATGTGGGAGATGTGTGGAAAGGGACATGAGAGAGATATAGCTCACTTTGAACGAGCTAGGAAGGATGGCCCAGGACAGAGACGAATGGAAGGAGCTTGTATGTGGCCTATACCCTGCCACGGGTGAAAGACTCTGATGATGACATCACATTTTGTCACTAAGCCCCTCCCACATCACATTTGATAATTAAGCCCCTCCCACATCACATTTGATAATTAATTAAGCCCTTCTCATTCCCACCTCACATTTCAACACTAAGCCCCTCCCACAATCACATTTCCTCACTAAGCCCCTCCCAAAATGGTGTCCATGTATGTTCACACCCAGGTGTCTATTGGCCAGGTGTCCACCGTTGCCTCGTCGGGCTACCAGTCGTTCAGTCACAGCCAATCACAGTCCAACTCTCCGGTGGACCCCAGCAGTCAAGGGGACAGCACCAGGGAGATGACCAGAGAGCTGTCCAGGTCACCCATCATCCACTACAACCCTGTACGTGACCCAGTTTGAACTAGTTTCATCTCTGGTTTGCCTTAGTTTTCTCTTTGGTTTTGCCTAATTGTTTTTCTGGTTTAGCCTATATTCTCTCTGGTTTGACCACGTTTCTCTCTAGTTTGGCCTTGTTTATCTCTGCTCTAGTTTCCGTCTGGTGTGGCCTAGTTTCTCTTTAGTTTGGCCTAGTTTCTCTCTGGTGTGGCCTAGTTTCTCTTTAGTTTGGCCTAGTTTCTCTCTGGTGTGGCCTAGTTTCTCTTTAGTTTGGCCTAGTTTCTCTCTAGTGTGGCCTAGTTTCTCTTTAGTTTGGCCTAGTTTCTCTTTAGTTTGGCCTAGTTTCTCTTTAGTTTGGCCTAGTTTATCTCTGGTGTGGCCTAGTTTCTCTTTAGTTTGGCCTAGTTTCTCTCTGGTGTGGCCTAGTTTCTCTTTAGTTTGGCCTAGTTTCTCTCAGGTGTGGCCTAGTTTCTCTTTAGTTTGGCCTAGTTTCTCTTTAGTTTGGCCTAGTTTCTCTCTGGTGTGGCCTAGTTTCTCTTTAGTTTGGCCTAGTTTTTCTCTAGTGTAGCCTAGTTTCTCTTTAGTTTGGCCTAGTTTCTCTCTGGTGTGGCCTAGTTTCTCTATAGTTTGGCCTAGTTTCTCTCTGGTGTGGCCTAGTTTCTCTTTAGTTTGGCCTAGTTTCTCTCTAGTGTGGCCTAGTTTCTCTTTAGTTTGGCCTAGTTTCTCTCTAGTGTGGCCTAGTTTCTCTTTAGTTTGGCCTAGTTTTTCTGTGCCTCTTCCTTGCTGCTCTTGTGTATTTATTAACAGATATAGAAATTCATTTGTACCAATTGCAATTAGACTATTGAACACACAGTGTGAGAGAGAGAGAATGTTCAATGTATGTATTTGTCAATGCACAAGAATTTTATAACACAACTGCAATCGTAAATAACCAAGACAAATTTCTTCCAGCTGAGATGAATGAAGATTGTCATTGTTGTGGTATCCCTATCAACCTCAAGTACGCCTCATAGAAAAGGCCAAAACTGCACATCTCTTTATTAAATTATCTAAATTTTGTTGATGGGGGTGTAAACAATTTTTTAAAAATCTCAACAACAGTTTGTCTTTCTGCGTGTGGTTGGAGGACGCCACTGGAAGGTTTCCTTCACTTTCGCCCTTATTTCTGTCTCTCCGTCTTGCTTTTTTTGTCCAGCACGAAATGATTATTATTGTGTCAAGGTGGTTCTCTCTACTCTGACAAAACAAAACAACTGTTTTTACTTCTCATGTCGCTATTATCTCTCCGGCAGGGACAGACACAGCCTCTGGCATTTGCCAACCCTCTGTTCCGGCATCAACAACAGCAACAGCAATTACAACAGCAGCTGCGCACGGCACCAGCCAGCGCAGGAATACGACGGGGCAGCGGGCCAGGCTCTCTGGGCTCCCATCAAGGCATGCCCATTAGTCAGGCCAGGACAATGCGGCGACGGTCCAGTGACTCATCAGTCAGCAGCGAGGAAGGAGACGGTGGGGTGGATGCTGATGAAGGTGACGTTCGGCGCAGACAGACGCAGCCTGTGAAGTTATCAGCGAAATCGTCGTCAAAATCGGCGAATTCTTCGGACTATCATTCGTCGATAGCTCCGCTGAAGAAACTGTCTCAGCTGAGCAGCTCTAGCAGTGAAGAAGACAGTCTCAACATGAAAGGTTCAGCGTCCTATGGGGGAGGAGGAAGCTCGGGCAGTTTCGTCCACTCTTCCTCCTCTAACTTCATCTCTCCATCATCAGCATCGTATCAGTCTTCCTCAAAAACCTCCTCTTCCTCATCGGGAGGGGGAAGTGGCACCACGTCTCACTCTTCATCGCTCTCCTCTGCCCTGGGTGGGGGGTACAACGGATGCAGCACCTTCCCCCGCTACCACAACCGACAACAGCAGGATAAGGGAGGAGGGGGCGGTGGGGGAAATAACGACACCAGCCCACCCCTGCCCCCGCGCGAGGCCATCATCCCATCAACAGGAAGCGGGACAGTTGGACGCAGCGGTAACTTTCACCGACAGTTCTCCCAGCCTCAGGCTGGCTCACACAGCCCCAGCCAGGGCCCGCCACCCCCACGGCCGCTGCCCCAGAGGGGAGGAGGGATCACCACCAACCAGGCCGGCCACGTACAGCAGCGACACCCCATGCAGCCCCCAGGGGGCGGTGGGGATCCCGGTGCCCCACGTGTGGGGGTCGCATACCACATGACCTCCAGCCCTGCCATAGCCCCACGTGGTTTCCACTCAACCTCTGGCTCAGGTCAGTCTAGTCCTAGCATCCACCACCGGGGCAGCGGTGTCGGGAATGCCTTAGCAGGCGGGCTCTCCAGCCCAGTCATCTACCGCAACAATAAGACCACCAACAACAGCATCAACAACAACAACAATAATAACGTTGCTGATGATATTTCAGGAAATCTAGCGGTATCCTCTTCATCTTCGTCAAACAACACACCCACCAACCCACCCGCGTCCGGCCAATGCTCATCGAACTGGCAGGTGGCGCAGCATGTAGAGCGGTCAAGCTCATCCCAGGATACCAGCAGTAGCTCGGAGTCGTCTCCCCAAAGCCTGGTTCGGTCGGCCCAGCACACCGCCTCTGCCTCCAGCATGCATGAGTCGAGCAGCGCTCACAGCATCAGCTCAGCGCCATCCTCATCACAACCCTGGGCCTACACGCCCTCGCACAGCGACTCCAACAGCTCGCTGAGCAGCCTGACCAAACCGCACCAACGAGTGCCCGTGCGGAGTGACTCCAGCGGGTCTCTTGGTGGGGGCGGGGGTGTGGGGCAGGTGTCCCGCATCTCTCAGACCCCCAGTGACTCCAACAGTTCGGTGAGCAGCGGGAACAACAACAGCTCCACCGGCGGGCCCACAGCGGTGACGACAAGTGGGGGTAACTCCATCGACAACTTCGCCAGTCTGACACACGCCCGGCCCTTCCACAGCCACCCGAGCCCCAGCGCCTTCCAGGCCCGTCTGTCCAGCCGCAGCGACAGCCACCTCAACACCAGCGCCTCCTCCCTGCAGAACAAACCGCAGCCCCCTCCCCCGTCCTTCCTCGCCTCCTCCAAGTACTCTGTGGTACACCCACCAGTGCCCGCGGCCCATGGAAGTCCGCGTAGTGAGCACGTGGCCTCAGACCCGGCCTTGAACCCCAACCGCCCATCGTACCCCCCGTCTCGCAGTATGGACTTGGGCTACATGAAGCGGGCCTCCACAGACTCCACTTTGAGCCAGCCCATCGACGGGCTCTCTCCCACAGGGAGTGGGCCTACCTTCCCCCTTCCCCGTGACGACAGCAGCCAATCAGTCTCGAGTGCGACAGGCTCGTCAGCCAATCGTAGGCTCTCGCCACAGTCAGCCGTCCACATGGGGATCAGCTCGGTGCAACGCAAGCTTCAGGAACAGGAACGGACAAAACAGGAAGTGAGTGCCTTGTCTTTTGTTTACAGCTGGTTTAGTGTAGTTTTATTAAGAGTTTTACGGCTGTTGCAAAACAAGTAGGTCACATAAGTGCTGAAGTTAGAGGTGTTACTTGAGAGTAACATACAAAGAGATAAGAAGGATAGATGTTTGATAGGAAACAAGGAGCAAACCAAACCAGAGCACCCGCCAACTGCCCATATAGCAGTGAGGGAGCACCCACCAACTGCCCTCATGGTAGTCAGGACAGAGAGATTTGTGATAGAAGTGTTATTTTACCTCATTCTCTTTCGAAGGTTGACTTACTTAAAATATTGAATAATCAGGTCCCGAGAAAAGAACCACATTGTCTTTTGGTTTTGCACTGAACAGTCCAGCATGTAGAAACAGATGGGGATGGAGTGCGTAGG